CTGGTCTTTAAGCAGCCTGGGGCTCCCCAAGGACAGGACTCAGCCTTTCTCATCACCCCAGCCCCTGCGGCTGGAGACCACCTAGTTCATGTGTTTCCATTTTAACACAACCAGTGCTTCAGCGTGTCTCTCGAGTGGGGTTCTGGGAAGTGGGAACCCGCAGTTCTTCCCATGGGGTTGGGTTAGGTGGGGTGTCTCCTCCCCTGTCCTGACAGATGCCTCGGTACTGATGGGCCCGCTGTTCCCAACGGGGCACGGTGGGAGCCTGAGGCCTAGTAGCCGAGGCGGAGCTGGGCTGGGCTTAGGGATTTCACAGGAGGAAGATGATCTTGTCCACAAGGCAGCAGTACCCTCCTCTGCAGCCAAGAGGACCACAGGGACAAGCAAGAGCAGGCAGCAGAGCAGGGCAGATAGAATGAGGGATGAGGGAAGGGAGAGACAGAAGATTTGGGAGGGAGCAGGGATAGAGGGGGGTTAGGGAAAGAGAGGAAGAGAGAGGAAGGGAACTGGAGAGGGAAGATGGAGGGAAGGAGGGAGGGAGAGAAACAACTTACCATAGAAAGAGACAGAGAGAAAAAGTACCCATAGACAGAGACAGAGCCAGGGAGACAAAGAGAGACACAGAGAGAGAGAGACACACACAGAGAGATGGGCAGAGAAGTTGAACAGTGAGTGAGAGGTGGGAGAAAAATGGAATACAGTGCCCGCCTCCAGCCAAACCACTGCTGGGCTAATCCACTCCCCCCCCCACTGACAGACAGGGAGACGGAGGCCCACTGAGGGGGCGGGCCTTGCCCCAGGTTCCACGGTGTGTGGACCTTATGACAGTTTTGGGTGGTCCAGGGTTTGAACCTGCTTCCCATCTGGGCTCGGGGAAACCTGGGGGAGGCAGAGAACACCTCCTGCCATACAGCTTGAAATGCCAGGCCCTCACCTTCCAGGCAAACTTAGAGCCAGACCTGGAGTGTGGGACCCAAAGCTCCACCCTCCCTCCAACCCATCAGAGGCACGAGCCCTGAGGGAATCAGTGAGGTGGGGCCCCAGAAAATGGAGGTGGGGAGAAAGCTTCCCGGGGGCCACTGCAGGAAGCTTAAGACCCCAAGGCAGTGGTGACAGGAGGAGTGTGGCCCATCTAGTGGCCAGGGCTTGTGGTGTGGTCAGGGCCCACTCGGGGACAGCCAGAGTTTCTCACTGGGCAGCTCTGCCCTGAGTTCTGAGCTGGGGATTCCATATCTGGTTCTCCACCCACCCAGTGATTCCACAAGCTCCCTGATAGCTTTTCAACAAGTTCCTTCTCTGTTTAACCTGGCAGAGTTGCTTTCTGAGAGGCAGCAGAGCTTTGGTTAGAATCTTTGTTCTGTTACAAGCTGTGTTGCTTTGCGAGTCATTTAACTTCTCTGTGCTTCAATTTTCCCACGTATAATGTAAGGATGGTACTATATTTCTGTCACTGGGTGAGTGTAACGATTAATGAGTTAACAACAGAGGTCAAGTGACAAGATACAGAGAAACTGAACCACTGAAATGGCAGCATGGGGGTGGGGAGAACCCTGCAGAGGTCTCAGACACCAGTGATCCTGGTTCTGCCACAGACTCGGATATGTGACCACGGACGAGTTTCTTCCCCTTCCTTGGCCATTGCTGCATCTGGAAACAGTTTCTCAGCGAGCATAATCAAGGCTCTGACCTGGTCTCCCCAACTTGCTACCTATAGCTGCTAGCTGATCACACGTCAGAGAACTCCCGAATACCTTGTCTCCTATCGAAGGTGCTCTCCTGGGCTTTCCCCATCCAGTCAGCTGCATGCCCCACATCTTTACTCAGATGTCCCTCCAGCTCCTCAGAGTCCACATATCCTTAACTGTGCTCAGCATTTTGCGGCTGTGGGTCTGTGACTCCTCCCTCTTTCCTGTCTCACCAGAAGTCTTGTCAGTTACAGATGTATCCATGCCCTCCTCCGCTCCTGAAGCCTCCGTTTGACCTGGGTGCTACAGTAGCCTCCTAACCCTCTTGCTGCCTCCAGAGACTCAGTGCCCCAAAGCTGAGCTCCTCTGCTCACAAGCTCCCTTAGGCTCCCTCCTGCAATGAAGGTGAAGTCTTCTGCAATGCCCCGCATGATCTGACCAACATCCACTCCTCTGGTCTCATCTGTTTCTTTCTCTTACTACCTGTGCTCTATACAACACTGGCCAGTCCCAAGGTGCAAAACATGGTCCCACCACACTTTCACCTGCTAAAATCCCACCTGTCCCCAGAAGCCCCGCTGAGGGGCCTAAGCACCCCCTTGATCCTCCAGGGTAGAAAGCATGACTTTTTTTCCTGTCCCTCTAAGCTCTTCTTGCAAACAGTCTCTCATGGAGGCAGTGCTGCCTGGTGGTTAAGAGTGAAAGCTGTGGATCCTCCTGCCCACACTGGTGCATGGGAGCTGATTATAACCTTGGAAAGTTACTTCACAGCACTGAGCCTCAGTTTTCTCATCTGTAGTGTGGGCATAAGAGCAGCACATATCTCAGTGGGCCTTAGGGAGGTGGGAAAGAGGGGGATCGTGCATGCAGAGCTCTCTCAGGGGTAGCTGGCACATGGAACATGATCCACACTTGGTAGTTTTGTGGCCGATTCTCCGTACTAACTAATGCCTAAGCTGCTGTCCCACCCAGGCAATGCCCGCCCTCTAAAGAATGAGGCTTCAGTGGGGATCTGGCTGTAGCATAACAAAACTGGACAGAAAAAGGAGCCAGGCCCCTTCCTCTTCTTCCCCTAGGCTTCCCATAAGAGCTTTTTTCCTCCCTGTGTCCTTTCTACAGGAAGGATCCCACTGAAAAGGCAAACACAGCAGAAGGGAGCAGTGCCCAGGAGGCAGGAGGGGAGAGAAACCAATCACCACATTTTCATTGCCATCAGCTGCCTCTGCTCTTCCCACCTCAGCTGGCCGCACTGGTTAATGGCAATGCTGCTCCTGCCTCCGTGCTTCTCCCATTCCCCAGCACTCAGAGTGTGGGCAGCACTTTAGTCCAAATGAAGAAAATTGTTCATTAGTACCCGGGGCTAATTGGCACCACATTTGCCAACCTCGGTGGCGCCCTGAACTTTCTTTAGCTTCTCATTGATGTGATGTGTTTTGGTCTGTGCTCTGGCACCTCCTTTGGGAAGTCTGCCCTGCCTCACCTTCCCTCTTCGTTCCCATCCCACAGCCCCATTGCACCCACCCACCCCCTCATCAGGGCACTTCTCACTCTGTATTCCTTTTACCTGTTGCAACTGTGAGTGAGAACCTCAGTGCCAGTGCAGTGGCCAGTACATAATAGCTGTTTAATAAACTGAATACTGTGCTCAGCTCGATCATGAAGAAGAGACTGGGGCCCTGCCCTTGGGGGCTCCAGGCTGGCTGGGGAGAAAGGGGACAGCCCAGGCTGGGGTATGAACCAGAGCAGAGATGCCTCAGGTCCATGGGCTGTGGAGGGGATGCCTCATCGCCTCACTCAGCACTTAGTCTCCGGGCTCAAACTGAATCAGGGACCCTGAACTCCACTACCCCCACACAGCTCAAAAGATCCTAAAAGTACAGTTTTATAATCTCAGGCCTGGGAAGGAGCATGGAAGTCATTCCTTCTGCTCGCATATCTCCTGGGCCAGCGACCTCACTTCCTCCTAATCATGAATAGAAAGCATGGTCAGATGACACAGAAGTCTTCCTGAGCAGCCCCACTACCTCTATGCCTCCTTCCATCAGGTGCACCGCTGCCATTGGACTCCTCGGAGTGCAGCTGCTCTCAGACCACCAGAGCCCTCCGCTGGTGCAGACAGGGGAATGCCGCTTAGCTTCAGATGTGGATGCTACTGTCCAGCCCTCTAATCATCTCTCTGGGTGAAGGCTTGAGCTTGGACAGGTGTGTGTGTGTGTGTGTGTGTGTCCACGCACTCATGAGGTGAGTGGGGGAGCTGGGCCACTGTTCAGACACAGACATTCAGAGAGAGGTTGCTACGATGTTTCCAGGATGAGAAGCTCCAGACAAACACCCACTATCCAGGATCTCAGGAGGCCCTTTGCAGGTGGGGTGGGGCTGGAGATGTGAGTGGCCACTCAGGGTGGGCTAGTGACTGCGGTGTCCCACAGCCTCACAAGACTCTCCCACTTGGCTCCCATCCAACCTTCCACAGTGCCCCTACTCCCAGAGCCCATACCAAACAACCCCACCTGGACGTTGTGTGACTCCAGCAGCCTCTGCTGCCGTCTTCCTGAAAGTATCAAGCCAGTGATTTGCCAGGAGGAAGGAGGACACAGGCTGTTCTCTCACAGAGGTGGGGGTGGGGGTGGGGTTGGTCCTGATTCAGAAACTACGCATTACCTGGCTAGCTGGAGTCATGCTGCCCACCGCCCCTGACTCACAGCCCAGAGGGCCAGTTAGGGGACATAAAGGTAGGGAAGAGGCAACACCCCCACACTCTAGCCTAGAAACGTGTAAGCTTTGCACGCCGCCCAACGGAAGACTCACTCCATCTTTCCTACCTCCTGCTCTCCTCCTCTCCCATAGCAGTCTGATCACCGCACTCTTCCTGTGGGTTGGGAACTTGGTGTATGCGGGACCCCCATCCCCACCCCCGACTGCCCTGGGAGATGGAAGGCGAAAATTGGCTTAACCAGACAGAATCCCTAAAGGGGAAACTTCAGGCCACCCAGAGTACGTAATGTGGGTAGCAGGAGAGGTTAGTCGTCAAAAGAAAGGAAGCATTTCCTTCTTCTCTTTCCGGGCTCTCAGTGCATGGAGCACGGGAATCGTGGGCAAATCAGTGCCTTACTGAGGTTTGAAGCTACGCTGGGGTAGAGGCAGAGGGTGCGCCCCGCAATATTATAAGAGGTCTTTAACGCCAGCGGAATGAGGTGCCCTGGCCATCAGCGGTCTTCGACGCTGGGTCCTGAGCCCTCGCCACTCCCTAAATCGCCCTCCTGGGAAGCGGACGCAGAGTCCGCGGTGGAAGGTCGCGGGTGGGGGGGCACTCACGGGTCGTATTGTACTTGACGCCGTTGAAGTACTCGGGGCACGGCCTCTCCACCAGGGCCCCGGCCGCGCTCCGGGGCCAGCACGTCCCAATCTGGTCCAAGGTCGTGTTGCAGTAGGAGTAGGGACCTGGCGACGGGAGAGAGCGGAGCGGGGCTCAGAGGGGTTGCCAGGGGCGTGGGTCGCCGCAGGGCGCAGGGCGCAGGGCGCAAGGCGCTGGGAGCGCGGGGCCCTGGGCGCACCCAGAACGCCAGGGAAGAAGCCCGCGCCGCTGAGGTCCGCTCGCCTTCCGCCTACCCTCGAGGTCCAGGGGCAGCCCCCAGCCGTCCAAGAGCAGCTCTTCGGCCAGCGCCAGGCTGCAGTTGGCCTCCAGCAGGCTGTGGAGCAGTGCCGCGTCCATCGCGCTCCGGAGCTGCGCGCCCAGAGCGAGTGTGAGTGCGCGCTTGGCGTGGCTGCCAGGGGCTGGGTTCGACAGTGGGCGGCCCTATCCGCCCAGCCCCGACCTGCCGGGCAACCTCTGTGCCGGGTCGCCCGGAGCTGCCAAGTCGGGACCTTAGCTGAAAGGAGCTGCAGAGCGCACGGAGCTACGGGTCCACCCGCTCTGTCGCGGCCAATGGCGGTACCAGGGGGCGGGGCCGGGTGGCTCCTCTTGGCGGAGCCCAGGCTCCCGACCCCGGACCACCAGCCCTGCCGGGAGTCCGCCTTCTCAGGCCCGGGAAGGTCCGGAGGTGAGCGGCAGGGATGGAGAGTGTGGGCCTGGGGTGACAGAATGCCCCGTCAGAGTATCGGATCGCAGGCCCTGGGGCTGCAGGGCGGCAGCAAAGCGCGCCTGCCCGCTGGAGGAACCCACTGCAAGCACCCTGGGAGTCAGAATAAGACGGCTCGAAGCCCGAGTGTCTTCTTCCTGAGCGAGGACATTGGAGAGGGGCGGTAGGGGGAGCCGGTCATATAGTCCACTTGCAGATACGCGCTCTAGAAAAGTCCCTGTGGCCTCTGGGAAGGAAGTAGATTGGAGGGCCTTCGAGGGAAGCAAGGGAGCCACCGAAGAGTCTAGTGTGATCAAGTGGTCTGAATGCGTGCAGACCTGAACCAGGCGGTGGGGGCTGGGATGGAGAGGGATTACGGAAGAGAACCAGCTCTGGTGAGGAGGGGCTGCAGAGAGCAGTGGATGGGTGGCTTCCAGCAGGAGCCAGGAAGTAGGGATAATACCAGGACTCCGCTTGGGTGACTAGGGGGATACTGTTGGCATTTAATGAGATGGAAAAGTCTAGGGGAGAAACTGGAGGACTTCAAACACCCAGGTCTTACTGCCTTGAGCTCCAGGGAGAATAAGTGAGAAGCAAGCACTCCTCTTCCTTTTGGCTTGGGCAGGGCCACCATTGTGTGTGTGTGTGTGTGTGTGTGTGTGTGTGTGTTGTCTGTCTGTCTGTCTGTTGGGGAGAGCTGACCCCACAGCAGGTGTGAAGGAGCTAAAAACTTTCATTTAAAATTTGCCCAGGCCCCCAGGACCGCCTGCTCTAATTCACCCAGTCTGGGCCTGGGATGTGGTTCACCCCAACTCAGGCTGGGTTCTGGTCCGGCCTCTGTCTCTACTCTCTCTACATATTACTCCAATTCTTACCCTCTCTTTTGGGGGAGTTTCTCCTTCAGTGAAATATTCTCAGAGGCCCTTCCCAGGCCTGAGACTGTCTGGTTCTGAATTATGAGATGCAAAGGCTGAGGAAGATGTATGCGTATGTGAATGTGTATGTAAGTGTGTGTTTCTATCTTTAGAGGGCAGGGAGACCTAGCTCGGCTGGAGGCCCCAGGGGAGCTAGTCCTGTCCCTTCTTGCCAGCCTCCACTGGGAAAAAGCTGCCAGAGCAGGCTAAGGCCACCCTGAGCCAGCACTGCCCTGAGCAGGGAGAGGGGAAGAGGCGGGCTGGGCTGTCCTTATGTGCTCCAATCTCACTAGCCTCAATATTAATGCTGCTGTCATTGCCCAAGCAGAGCCAGAGAGCATGGAGACCAGGGCTGGGCACAGGAATCTCTCCAGGGCCAGCTGATTGGCAGGTACAAGGTGCAGACCAGCCAGCCAGATCTGTCCTCTGCCTTTTGAATGGACAGAGCCCTTGGCTCAGCTCTGGGCAGCTGCACAGGCAGAGGTCCCTTCCTGTCCATAGTAACCAGGGCCAGGAGCAGACGAGGATCAGTTGAGTCCCAACCTCAACCCAAGGCAGAGTCTTGTCACCAGTCCCAGGCTGGGACTCGGCCCTAGTCCCAGACTGAGCCCTGCCTCACAGGGTCCCACGTAGGTTAGAGTATGGCTGGCAGTTCAGTCCATGCCTTCACTGGGAAATAGTCTTATTCATGCACAGAGGAGGGCCCTACACACCAATGCCAGCTCAGAGGGACAGAGAGAAATCAAGCTAAGTTAACCTGTTCATCACCAGAGCCACTGCACAGGAAGAGCAGCTGTCTCAGTGGGTGGTGCGTGCCCAGTGGCCAGAGGCCAAGGACTTATCATCTCACATGCAGAATGGAAGGTTGGCCTGGGTGACCTGGACTGCTCTTAACTGGGAGAGCACATGTGATAAAGGTTCCTCTGGGAAGTGACCATTTTAGTGGCAGAGGCAAAGGGCATTCTGCATTTTGACTAGACAGTTGGGGCCTGAGCGCAGACCCACAGACCCAAGGTTCCCTGGTTTCCAGGATGCAGGGCCATTTCTTCATGGATTTTATTGTAGACATGACTGTTATTCTCAATGTGACAGAGAGGAAAATGAAAAAAAGAGCAGTTTTGGAACAAATTGATTTTACAGCTCACTTTCATGTTGGCAAATAGGTAAATGAGGAAGAAACTATAAAGAATTAAAACTTTCCTCAATTAGATTAAATCCAATTACAAATAAGCAAAGTCTGGGTCTCTCTGCTAACTAAGGAAGCAGAGGTGGATGGGAGGCCCTGGGATGAGGTAGGCTCCCAGGCCAGGCATTAGGGCAAAGGCATTTGAGAAAGTCTGTGTGCCCCCAGGCAGGTGGAACAGGTTGCAAATAAGTTCAAGAAGTGTGACAGGTACTGGGGAAGATACCTGTGTGTCATGAGCAGCGTGAGGTAAGGCAGGTGCCTCTGGCCCACCTCTGATGTTAGTTGCAGTGACGGCGGACAATTCCACGCAAGCTCAGACACACATCATGGTCCTGTGCCCAGCAGAACACCAGATAGGCATGCAGAGCACAATGGAAACACACAGTGTCTCCCACCGTCACATGTCTTCACAGCACACGCACATTCTCTCATTCATCCCACCCCCCCATCAAACGTCAGCTGGAAAACTGGATTTAACAGGAAAGTCTGTCTTTGCATCTCTGAGGGGCTGTACTCGGTCAGACTGAAGAGACAGGGAGTATGCAGAGCTGGGACAAGGTTGCGGGGTTCACTGGCAGTACCAATGGGGCTGCTGAGGACACGGAGGCTTGGGAGAGGCCAGATGGTGCCCCATTCTTGCCCTGGGGCACTGGGGGTAGTGCCCTAGGCCAGGCCAGACACTCCTTCTCCACCCCACCTTGGCAAGGGGAGAGGACCTGGTGTCTCCAGTGGAGTCATGGGACCAGGCTGTAGACTGGAAGTGCCCTTGGCAAACTTCTAATCCCACAGTCTTATTTACAGATGGCCAAAGGGAGGTCCAAAGGAAGAAAAGGAATGTCCCTCTCTAACCCCACCCAGGCCATACTCATCTCCCCAGCAGCCAGACTGGGCTCCCTGTCTCCGCCACCGGGCAGATGATGTGATTTCTCTATAATTAAGATCATGTGACTTCTTCTCACAAGACTGGTTCCCCACTGCCCTTGGGATGGAACCCAGCTCTGTAGCACTGCAAACAACATTCTTCATGATCATCTTATTCCCCATCCTTTCCCTCCTGCTCAACTTGAGATGCCCTTTAGAACAACTTGCTGGGAACATTCTACACCTCGGCACCTTCGTGTGTGCTGTTCCCTCTTCTGGGAATGCCCTTTCCACTCTGTACTCCAGTTAACCTAGCCAACTCCCATTCATCCTTCTATTGTTCAGCTTAGCCCTCACCTCCTTTGTCTTGTCTGCAGTGGGTGACCCTTCTCAGAGCCTCCACCTGCCGGGGGCTGGTCTATGTCACATCAAGGTTGTTGGTTTTCCTACTGTCACCTCTACCAGCCTGTGACTCCCAGAGGGCAGGGCTGATCGTTCTCACAGACCAGTCCCCAGCAGCCATCAGAATGCTCCAGAGCTGTGCTCAGCAAGTCACCCTTGAAAGAACAAACGTTTTGGCAGCAGTCCTGTCTCCTAGACCAAGGCTCTGTTCCCATTTGACCACCCCTGGGGTGTGTGTGTGTGTGTGTGTGTGTGTGTGTGTTGGATTGGGGAATTATTTCAAGGGATCTTTGATTCCATTTGGATCCTTATATTGCCTATGGACTGAAAAAATAATATGCCTTACAACTTACAGAATATGCTCTATTAGATTCCTCTGTGATGAATAAGACAAATAATCCGTTTAAAGCCTGCCTGAAGTCTCTTGTGATTGTGTGTGTTTTTCCCTATTTGGACCTCAGGGGCATACAATTTAATTGATCATGGTCTTTGATTCATGACCCCTTGGCATCATTAGCCCATACATGGCTCAATTTTATTTTATTTTAGTCTTTTCTTTTGCGGAAATTTGTATGTAGTAGCACATAGAATGACAGTTGCCCAACCCCAAACTGGATCATTACCAATTTATCTATATACTCCTTCCTCAGAAGGAACATTCTTTTGAATGTTGCTTTTATCATTCCTTTACTCCTAGTTTTTTCAGTTTTATCACTGAATGTATGTCTAAACGATGGGTTGTTTGGTTTTGTTTGTTTCTGATCTCCATGTTAGTCAATATGCATCTTCTCAATCAGTGGACACCTAAAAGGAGATCCCTACCATGTGGGAACCTGAGAAATGATTCCTGAAGTCCAAGGCCGTCCTAACAACCTGCGCATCCCAGCCCAGGGGCATGATTAATGCAGGCTGAGGCGTCCCCCCGGTGGCTGCCAGGCAGCATAGTCAGTGACCTGCTGGAAGAATAATCAATGACACAGGGAAATGTTCACTCTGAGTTACAGGAGGAAAAAGCAGGTTACAAAACTGTGGACACAGGATCATCCCAGTTTTGTGGGGAATAAAGGGAAAAAGACACGAGGCTCTGTGAATTGATAACCTTCCAGGGGATATAAGCATTACAAAAGTTCCTGGGTTGTGGGATAACGAGCACTTGTCATCTTTGATTTTTAAAAACATTTTTTCCTATGTATATCCTTATATAATATGAATCCTGTTTGTAAACAGGTGAGTGATATTACAAGTCAAGCAGGGGAGGCTCTGTGTTTGGAGAAGTTGGGACTCTCTCCACTGGACTCAGAGGTGGGGAGGATGGGTATCACCCGGCAGGGGTCACGGGAAGGCGAGCATCTGTGCCACACACTGGGCGAGGAGAGAGGGCAAGGAAAAGGCGGTGGGTTTGCTGCTAACAGTGTTGCCTCTGAGAGCAAAGAGCTTTGGTGAGGGGAAGGTTGGGGCCCTCCTGAAATGGGGGGCCTCCACTTTCTGCCTGATGGCTACTTGACTGAGTGTAGCTATGGTCTCTTGTTCACAGTAAGCCTCTGAGGTCGACTTCGAGCTGCTTCTAACAGATGAGGAAACTGACACTCAGATGGTGCTATAGGCTGAACTGTGTTCCCCAAATGCATACGTTGAAGACCCAATTCCCCATACCTCAGAATGTGACCTTAACTGGAGATAGGTAATTAAGTTAAAATCAGGTCATTAGGGAGGGTTCCAACCCAATGCGACTGAGGTTCTTATAAAGAGAGGGGATTAGGACAGAGACACGCACACAGGGAAGACCATGTGAGGACACAGGGACAAGACGTCTGTCTGCAAGCCAAGGAGAGACGCCTCAGAAGGAACCAACTTTGCTGACACCTTGATCTTGGACTTCCATAGTCCAAAATCTTCAGAAAATAAATTTCTGTTGTGTATGCCTCGCAGGCTGTGGTGGTTTATGGCAGCCCAAGCAGATTAATACAGACGGGTCGGGTGCCTCGTCCAGGGTCACAGGGCTGCAAGGTGGAGGAGCTAGGATCGGACTCGTGTCTGTCTGACCCTGACACCTGAGCTCTTGACCACCCCACCATGAGCAGGGCAGATGACATGGTCTCCTCCTTGACACATGACTCGGGCTGCATTTGGTGCTGGGTCCCAGTTCTGGTCAGCACCCTTGTCTCCTTGAGCCCTGGCAGTAGCTCCAGAGCTCAGGGGCACCTCCCGCCCTCATCCTTCCTTGCTGCTTCTGTGGATGCAGCCCTGAGAAGGCCAGGACACTGGGAGGGGCCCTGCAGACATCTCTCCAGAGCCCATTAAGGCCCAGCACTCTTCTGAGCTCTGCCATGGCTGACCCTGACGCTGAATCAGCCGCTGGAAAACTCTCAGGGGTCAGAACTCAGGGGCCTAGCTGCTACTTCACAGGTTCTTACCAGGAGGTGACACCTGTAGCCACGGCAACGGGAGAATGTGTTTCACACCTTCTGCCAGTCTTGCTGGAGTTTGAAAGCAGAGGGGCACCCCCTGCTCGGGCACCTGAATGCCAGCCCAGCCAGCTTCCTTGGGTGCAGATGCAGGGAGCCGAGAGCTGGAGAAGGATGCCCAGCCAAGCCCTTCATCATCAGCGAAGAACCTGAGCCCCGAATGGGGAAGGGGCCCACCCAAGGACAGACACCAGGACCCGGCCTGGAAGCCAGTCACCATCCAGCACCCACGGGGCTCGGGCTGGCCAGGGAGAGAGGGCCCACTTTTCCCCCAGTCCCTGGGGCCCACCCTCATCTCCAGGGGTCTGCCACAGGTGGTGACAGGGGGCTGGCATACCTGAGAAGTTGGCGAAGGTCGTGACTGAGTGGCAATACTGCTCCAGCAGTGCCCACAGGGGCTGGTCTCTGGATGCCCGGCTCGGTCCAGCTGCCTAGAGGACAGGGGGGATGAGGGCCAGGCCCTGGCTGGATACTGACAGCACACGTCCCCCATCCCCATCCCTACTCCTCTGTTGTACAGAGAAGAAAACAGGAGGGACAGGCCCAAGGACACACAGCAGAACAGCAGCGTGGCCAGGCCTGGAACCCCGAGAAGACCAGTGTGGCTCAGCCCCCGAAGGACGAATATGCTCTGTGCATCCCTTGGCCCTCAAAGGTCTACTCATCAGGATGGGATGTGCCCTGTGTCCTGTTAGCAAAGAAGTGGGTGGGGGTGTCCACCAGCTGTTCACTTACCCAGCAAACATTTGTACAATGCCTGCTGTGTGTCAGCGCCTGGCTGGGGGACATGGTAGGTGTCCTCAGGGTAGTCCCAGGCCAGGTAGGGATCCCCTAAAATCAGAAGGCTCAAGGAGAAGGGAGGAGAGTGGACAACTTGACTTTTTTACCTGTCACACAAGTAAACAGGCAGTTACAAAGAGTGTTAGGTTAACATATGAAATAGACTCCTAACTTGGACTTGAGAAGATAGGGGAGGCTTCCTGGAAGAGGTGGCACTTTGGGGGCAACCAGAGGATGAGTAGGAGAAAAGGAAGGGACCACTGTAGCCACTTGCCAGAAAATAAACATTGTTGTTGCAACAATGGCAAGCCCATCCAAAAGACAGAAACCACTCAGGAACCCATCTCCTGAAAAAATCATAAGGGTGGGTGCTGGATATGGAGGGATAAAGTAGATGTGGTTATCTCTGACCTTGAGGGGATCATCTTTTGGTGGGAAAGATGGATGGGTAACCAGTTTGTTACAGTGTCTACAATTTGCTGAGAAGGAATCAGGTAGCCTCAGAGGAGGTCATGCTGATGTGGGCTTTGATGGTTGAATAGGAGTTTGCCCAGCTGATAAGGGTCGTGCCAGGAAGGGCATCCTAGATGGAGAGCACACATGTGCAAAGGCAGAGAGGCTGGGAAATGCATGGCACTAAACTGAACAAAAGCAACACCCTCTAAAATTCTAACCTTTGTCCCAAGACCACCACTTTTCCCACCCAGTGGCCAGTGTGTGTGCATGAGTGTGTGCACTTGTGTGTGTGTATACGAAATGACTTTTGCACCCCTCCCAAACCTGACATTCCTGTTTGTGGGAGTCAAAAAGGCACTGCCCCACAGTGGACAGCCCCTCCCCTTTCTCCTATCTGCCAGATGTTTACTCCCTGGCAGCTGGGTCAATGTTTGCCCCAGGATGTCCCTGGGACCAGAGCCCCACAGCCCTCAAACATCACGTTCTCCACATCGAGCTCAGTCCATTTCCTGTGCTGGGGCTGGAGGCAGCACGCTCAGCCTCACCTTGCTGGCCTGGGGCTCCTAATTAATGACCCCACCTGATCAGATGCGAGGGCTGAGAGTGGCACGGCCACCACTTACCGGCACTCACTGCACCAGGGTTCTGCCAACTCTGCAGAGCTGGGGCAGGAGGCAGCCCTGGGGGGCAGAGGTGTTGTGTGTGTAACTTGGGTGTGTGTAAGGGATATATGTATGGGGTGTGTATATGTCTGTGTAGGGTGTGTGGTTGTGTGTGAGTAGTATGTGTATAGCGTGTGCGCCTGGGTGTTGTAAGGGGTGTCATCAGCTGGGAGTTCTGGCCTCTTGGCCCTCAGGACAGACACTGGGGGCCATGACCTTGCTGTTTACATGTCCCGGAGCTGCCAGGAGCTCCTTAGCATCAGCTTCTTGGGCATCAGGAGGGCCCTGATGCCCAGAGAGCCACGGGCCAGGGGTGAGATGGACTGGGGAGGAGAGGGGACGCCCTATCCTCAGCTGGGTCTGGGGAGAGTGCAGGCCCTAGGCCTGACCTTTTACCCCTTCCCAACCCCTTTCTCTTTGTTTGAGAAGCAGCTAGTAATGCTCTCCCTGGGGGGATGGAGTTTCCAGGGAGCTGTCAGCCTCTGGAGGTCACAGCAGGGACAACGCTCAACCCAGAGGCACTCGGTGTTGATGCTGGACTCTCTGGCTGACCAGATTTTGCATCTTAGATGCAAGTTCCTTCTCTCAAAGCCCCCAGTGGCCACACTGACCCCATCACCCAGGTGTCTCACATTTAACTTTGCAGGCGTCTGAACACCTGGCTCTGAGCCCATGGAGGGGAGTGGCAGGGCATCCTCTGCCAGGACTCAGGCACCACTGTGGTCTGTGTCTTCTTGCTGGGCAAAGCACAGGCGTGCTCAGTATGGATGTATGCTGTCTCGGCCTGGGCAAAATGGGGGAGCATAATAGAAGTGGTTTTGGAATAAGTCCCAGATCTGGGCTCCATCTCCCATAACTTCTCTGCTGGTCCAATACACTGGCACAGCCAGATGTTTGTTCTCTTCAAGGCGCTGGTTGGCTAGATTTGACTCAGTTCAAACCCACAACATACATGGAGGCGCCTATTTTGGACAGAGCTGCTGTTGGTGGCAGTGGTCGTGGTGGTGGTGATGGTGGTGATGGTGAGTGGACTGGGAGGAGGAAGAGGCTGGTGCCCTCAGAAAGCACATGAGTGGGCCAGGGAGAGCAGAGACACGGTCATGAGCAATTACACCCAGGGCCTGGGCGATGAGCTCTCAGAGCCGGCAGGCTGCAGGCAGACTGCAACCATACCCATGCTCAGGGCTCTGGGGGTGCTGCTTCTCAGCTCTGTGGCCTTGGCCAAATTACTTAGCTTCTTTGAGCCTTGGCCTTCTCATCTTGACAATGGGGATAATAAAAATCCCTGGGGTTTTGGTGTGCATTAAACAAATTACTGAAGGTCAAAGCCAGCACGTAGAAGGCACGTTACACGGTGACCTTGTCAAGGACTTTAGCAGGGGTCCAGTTAGGGAGCTCAGCGATGGGGGGTTCAAACCCCATTGTGTGGAGTCCCATGGCCCAGCTCAAGCTCTTCTCCTCTAGAAAAGCCTCCAAGAAACCCCATGTTCTGCCTTCCAAACTCTCTAGCCAGTGTGACTCCCCTTCAGCCCTTAGCACCCCTCCTGTGGACAGTGGCCTCTGAAGACACAGTCTGCACCTCCCTCACCAGGCCTACTGCTCAGCAGTGCTCAGTGGACATTAGGTAAAGAAACTGGGCTTGGGAGCCAAGTCCAAGAGGAGGAAAGGACTTGGTCCAAGCTGGGATGAAGGGTAAGAAGAGCAGAAAGAGATCCCAGGGGCAGGAGCTGGTCAAGCAAAGCCTGGGAAGCAGGAAAGCACAGTGTCTGCTCAGGAAGCAGCAAGCCTCCAGTTTGAGGATGCTATTAAGAAGGCAGAGGGAGACAGGTGGGAAAGAGCGGCTTCTATGGTGCGAAGTCAGCATTTACTATGCGCTGAATGCAGCTTGAATTGCTTGGCAACATCTCATTTAATCCTTACAACAGCCTCTGAAGTAGCTGCGAATGATTCCATTTTACAGGTCAGGCAACTGAGGCCCAGAGAGGTGAAGTCACCTTCCAAGGCCACACAGCAGGGAAGGGGCTGAGGCAGAATTGCACAGTCTAGTAGGTTACTGATTGGTCAGATACACAGAGAAGAGCTGGTCCTAGGCAAGGAGGTGAAGGCCTGTGCTCCAAGGATGCTGAGAGGACCCCAGCCTTAAAGAGGGGAAGTAAGAAGCAGCTCTCACCAGTGGGGCAGGGACCTGTAGGCAGAGAGCTGGGTCATGGGAAGGAGGAAGGCAGACCCAGCCAGCCAGGCAGGGCCTTGCTCAAGGGAGACGAGAAGTCTGGCTTCTATAACTTACTCTGAGCCCCGTGAAGACCTCATTATCTCTCTTCTGTGGGGGACACCCTGGGCTTTGGTACTGATCAGCTCTTTGCTGTCCAGGGGCAGAGAACTGCCCCCACCCTTCAGCTTTGCCCCCCATCCCCGGCTAGAGGCTGCTGGAACTCAGGGCCCACGTCTATCTGGTTCACATCTGGGTCCTCAGTTCCCAGTCTTGAGCCTGGCACATAGCAGGTGCTCAATAATTGTTTGTTGGTTGACTGGATGGATGGATGGGTGGTTGAGACCATGGCCCCCTCAACCAGGGAGAGCTGCACTGAGATCCCAATTCTGGGATCTCAGTTTCTAGGCTTTTCCTGCTTGTCAAATTTCCATCTTTCTGAATTTTGAGGACGTCCTTTTAGGACAGCCTGGATCTTGGTTCCAGCCTCTGTGTGCCTGGAATTGAAAGCCCTCACCTTAGAAGAGGGCAAGGGAGAGGCCCTGGCAGGAGGAGGAGGCAGCAGGTCAGAGCCAAGTGGCCAGCTGCTCTTCCTCCACCTTGAGCCCTGTCCAGGCAGAACCTGTGCCCAGGGGCCAGGCGGGCCTCAAGGGTGCCACCTCCCTGGAGCCTGGGGGTCTGGCCCAGCCGACTACTCCCTCCTGGCTTGGCAACAAAGATTTCTCTAAATTTAGCTGCCGATCTAAGCCTGGGAGATTTGGGACCACAGGTCCTGCAGCCAGGCTGTCAGTAACTAGAGGGGAACGGGGTGAGCTCCCTCCCTGCCGCCTCCCTCTGTGCCCAAGGTCAGAGAGGACTTTTCTGGGAGGGAGAGGATCCTCCCCAGTGTTGCCTTTCATTCACTGGTTTCATTGAGCGTGAGCTAGGGATGGAGGAAGGAGAAACTCAGATCCTGACCTGGGGAAGGAGGAGGAGAGGGGAGCCTGGAGAGGGGAAATGAGAGGAGGGAAGGAGGGGAAGGGGAAGAGGGAGAGAGGGGAGGAGGAGTAGAGGAGGAAGAAGGAGCAGAAGAGAGGGAGGAGAGGGGGAGGAGGCAGAGTCTGGTCTCCAGTGGAGACAGTACTGGAGCTGAGGCTGGTGGAGGCAGAGGGTGAGGGACTGGAAGTCAGATGAAGGAAGTAGGTCATTATTTTCTGGAGTATCCAGGCAGGCTTCCTGGAAGGGGAGACTTTCGATGCTTGATTCTAACTTATCAGCAGCTGGGATCCCAAGTGAGGACCCCAGGAGCCCACAGCCGCTTCCAGCGGCTGTCCCATCCCTGAGTGTCCCAGCAGGTCTTTTTCCCTAAGACGTCCCACTCTCCCAACCAGTCCGAATTCAGCCACCAACTTGCCGAGAGAAACTTCCAGGCTTCTCCTTGTCATAGGCTGTCTCTCTCTCATCTCTGAAAGCCTGTGGCTCCCTCCCACCTCTGTCCCTCTTCCCTGACCCGTGCCAAGCCCTGGGCTCTGCCCACAGGTGTCTGAGGGAGGGATGGGGGAAAGGAAAGGGAAGGAAAGAGAAAGGGAGGGTTGGAGGGAAGGCAGGAGCTGGCCAGCAGGAGGTCCTATGACAGGTCACTAGGCCTAAAATTATTTCCTTAATTATCCACTCATTTAGTGTCCAATTTGCCTAAAAGTCACCTCTTTCTGATTTGTTTTGGCATCTGAGTGTCTTACATTTTCGTAAAGGGAAGGGAATCTCAAGTCAGGCTGTCTGGTTTGAATCCTGGCCCTGCTGCTACCAGATGAGTGACCTTGGGCACATGACCTTGCTTCAGTTTCCTCCTGTCAAATGGGTATAATGATGGTCTTATTCCCTAGGGTGGTTGGAAAGCTTAAAACAGGTAATGTGTGTCAGGGCTTAGAACAGTATCAAGCATGTGGTAAGCCCTGTATAGATGTTAAATAGAATAAACAAAATAAGCTTCTAGAATAATATATCCCTCCCTCTGGCAGATTTGAAATGACATCTTAAAAAAATTAGAGTTTTGAATAAAATGACTTTAGACAATGACTGAGGAGTCCTAAAAACACTAAAAAGTAGATAAAGTAGAAAATGACAGCTAACAGGATACAGAATGTCCCATAATTCATAAAGTGCTGCAAATTTGAGACTTACTAGAAGTACAAAATGAAATAGGCAGTCCCCTCAGACAAATTGGTTTTTTAAAAACATACTAAAACATCAACAAAACGGCAAAAACAGAGAGACCAAATTAGCTGATTAGGTTAGAAAACAATCAGAGAGTAGCTGAATTTTGGGGAAGAGTTATTAGATGAATTCGTTTCTAGTAAAGGGCCTTTGAGTCCCCCGCCCTGGCCCTGCAGACCCTGGGTGTGTGTGTGTGGTGGGGGTGTGGTTCAGGGCCCCCGGTCTTGGGGCGGGCTTTGCAGGTTAGGGAGGGTCCAGGCTTCTGGAGTCCGGGACTTCTCTCTTTGGGCAGATGGCTCCACCAGAAGCTGGAATCTAGGGCAAGAGACCACAGAAGTGCTGCTCTGAGACCCTGGTTGGAGTATCTCACTGCCCAAAGGTCAGAGGGGCTGGACACAGTCAAGACTTTTGGGGTCTTCTCAGAGAGGGAGGCAAGTAGCTCAAAAGGTTAGAATCAAGGGTTTTGGAATCCAGCAGCCATAAATCTTAGCCTCACTCGATCTCCATTTCCATCTGTAAATAAATGTCCCACGTTCCCAGTGTTTTAGTCAGGGGCTCAGAGCAGCAACTGGTACATAAGATAGGCCACATGATTACAGTGCTACTTTCCAAAGCAGCTTGTCAAAGGCCTCAGAGGGCTACTGGTAGCACCAGGGTCAAGGCTTGGCTCCTCCAGGCTCTCACAGTGTGGGCTGGGCCAAGGTGTCCTCCCCACTGAGCCACCAGCTGGAATGTCCATAATTGCAAATCAGATCAGGCCCCTCCCTAGCTTAGGGAGCCCTAAGCTCCCCGTGCCCTTGGGATAGAAATCAGAGCCCACCAGGACCTACCGTGGCCCTGGAGGCACAGCAGGTCCATCTTTTCTCAGGGTTGGGGCTCTGGGATCTCCCCCGCTGCTTGTTCTTCCCTTGGCGCCCCTCTAGGACCGCCCCATCTCCACCCCTGCATGTCCACCTCCCACCATGCTTCCTTCCAATCCTGGCAGAGGCTCTCCTACCTGCACACACTTCTTAGTTCCCATAACCAGTTTGTAAACACACACTTAATTCTTCGCCATCGTTTTCTTTCTGCCAGTGTCTCCCCTAGGCTACTAACTCCACAGGACAGGGGCCGTGGGCTGGTGTTTTCACCTTTGCTTTTTCACCATGCGTGATCCTCCTTAAACACTGGTTGAATCAAGAATTACAGAATCAATGAGAGGGTTGGAGGCCAGGCCCCTCCCAGGTCTCCTTCCTTCCCCACCACCCGCTCCAGGTCACTTACTCTTCTTTGCACAGAGAGCAGAAATCTTGGAATAGTTAGACAAGGACCCAGAAATAAATCCTGTTACCGTGAAGGCTGAGAGCAAGGAAGCCTGTGCTTTGGGGCCAGAGCGACCACAGTCCTCTCTAGCTGGTTACATGCTGAGTAACTTTGCGTGAGTTAGCTAGTCTTTAGTCTCAGCCTGTTCAGGGTGCTAGGGGCAGGGCCTGGGCTGACTCTAAGGGGAGTGCAATCTGTTACCTCCGAGATCCCTTGTTCTGATGCCTCCAGGACCTGGGGTTCCCTCCCAAAGACCCCTTCACTTGGCTGGGCTCTGGGACAGCAACCAGAAGTGCTCTCCGTCCAACCAGCTTGGGCAGTTGGCACCATGGCCCCCAGAGGGGAGGGCCAAGGGGCAACCATGGCCCTAACACCAGCTCTCTTGGAAGGTACCCACTCCAGGAACAAGTGAGGAAACTGAGGCTGGGGAAATTTGAGTAGCTTATTCAAGGTCATACACTCAGCAGCAAAGCAGGGATTTGAATTGGGTTTGTCAGCAAAGCCACTTTGCCACAGACAGTTGACGCGCACTACCTATCTGCTGAATGAATGCTGAACGAAGGAGTCCTCTGTGTACATATGGGGACAGGACCAGGCCTCCTGACTTCCAGCCTGGCTCTGTCCCTTGCACTTGCATGGCTTCTGAACTCTTTTAATGTTGTGGCTTTTTATGAAAAGTGTGGCCTAGGACAAGTCACTCTCCTTCTCTGATCCTCAGTTTCTCATCTATAAAACGGGGGGAGGGTTAGAGGTAGATTCCTCCCACATCAGTTTCTGGAAATCACTCCCTCCTAGGCTCACCCACAACTGCTTCAGCTCTTTCTGTACAGCTCCTCTCCAACCCACCGGCCCCAGCTCCCACCTGCAGACCCTGACTCTGGCCAATGGGCACAAGGTAGGGATTGGTGGGGCACCCACAGCTTTGAGAAACCCTTGGCAAGGCTGGTCCTCCTAGTGCCCCCTCTGCCCTATTGCTCATCTGTGACTGAGGGCTGCCTGTTTTCAGGCACTGAGAGGAGGCTGGGGACAGGGCTGCAGGAGATGGGGGACAGCTCTCTGAAAGTCCTCTGTGGGGAAGGGACAGAACTGGGGTGGGGTGAGGAAGGGATTTGAGGCTCTAGCAGGGGAGATGGAGGGAGATCTATGGAGGAGGGGACAAAGTGGACAGCGGATAGGGAATTTCTGGACTTGAGGAAGGGCATGTCCTAGACACTAGGGCGTCACTCAGAATGCTCTGCTCATCCACTAGGGCTTCCATGTCCTATCCTAGCTGGTATTAGAGTTTCATCTCCCCTTCACCTGCCCCCTCATCCAGGCAGGACATCTCCATCCCATCACATGATGCTGGAATCCCCATCCCCATGCTGGCCACCAAGCCTAAGACCGCCTCCAAACAACTCGTAACAAGGCTGAGTGAAACCGGGGCCAGTAACTGAACAGTGAGACCCCACTATAGCCTCACAGTCAGGAGAGCGGGGAGCTCCAGCTCCTGGTGCCGCCACCCTGATAAAAGACCCTCCACACCCCGCACTTACTTTGAGCAGCGGAGGGAGGAAGCAGAGCAGGCAGAGGAGGGGGTGTGGGGCGTGGAGGAGGCGCGAAGGCCCGGCGGGACCCCGCATGCCCGCAGCGTCTGCAGACAGGCGCTCACCTCCCGGCGCAGCAGTCCCGCCCCTCCCGCCCCTCCCCCGGCCGGAGTTCAGTCGACCCCTCCCTCCCCACCGCGTCAGGCAGCCAAGGTAAGGCCCTGGGCACTGGGGGTATTCCCCTCCACCCCCACCCCTGTGGGCTGTGACACTGCCCCACAACCCGCCCCCTCCAGGTTATTTATAGCGGTGCTGGAAAGCAACTTTGCCCCGGCAGCCAGGGGCCAGACTCTGCCTCCAGCCTTCGGAGAAGGGGTTAATGCCTTTAACCAGCCTGCCACCTTTGCTAGAGCTGTAGCTAGGAGAGAGGAATTGGGGGGTGGGGTGGGGGGCTCGGCTGTGGCTGTGGCCAGAGCACAGAATGGGTGGGTGGATCTCATCCCGACTGGGTTTCCCAGCCCTACTGGCATCTTCTGACTGTACGGAGAGCTTTAACCAGGAGCCACTGCCCATTGGGACAATTGAAATTTGAACCGTGGAAGCCAGATTAAATAATAGTTCTGCATCAATGTTCAACTTCCTGATTTTGATAACTGCACTGTGGGTAGGTAAAAGAATGTTAGGGAGTAATATTTAGGGCTAAAAGGACAGCATATCGCCAACTTATTATTCAAATGGTTCAGAAACACACACATACACACACAAATACATATATATATAGAGAGAGAGAACAATAAAACAAAGGAAACAAAATGTAAACAATTGGTAAATGTGGACAAAGGACATGTGGATATACTTTGGATCACTCTTCCAACTTTTCTGTAAATTTGAAATTAAATGCCAATATATATATATATATGTATATAAAACCCCAAAACAAAAACAAAAAATGCAACAATGCCAGGCCTCACCCAGAGCTTCTAATTCCATAGGTTGGGGTGGGGCCCAGGCATTGGTATGTTTCAGTAAATTTCACAGAGATCCTAATATCAGGCAGGGCAGAGCGGTGCTGGTCTCAGATGGGGACAGGTCCAACCTGGGATCAGGTCAGGCTCAGGAGGTGAGGCCTGTTCTCTGGGAGCCACTGAAGCAGCCTCTGGAACTCTTCTAACAGGTAGGCCTCATATGCAGAGTTTAAAACTTAAGAAGCAATTCCAGTGTTGTTAGGATCTGAGGGGAAAAGCATTTGAGGAATGTGATTAGTGGAGCAGCGAGCTTTTCCTGGAGGGTACAGACGAGGTGGGTACAGCCCAAGTTTAAGAAACTTAGACACTCTGTTCACTGTGGTCTCTACCTGGGTTAGTTTTCTGTCCCTCGGGTCCTCCTCTCCTCCACCCGCTTCCTCCAGGCAGCCCTTCCTGACTGTGCCAGTTCCCACACTGCCCTCCCCTGAAATCTCAGGGCCTGAATCTCTGCCCCTGGCTCCTCCCTAGTGTGGACTGTTCTCTTTAGGCCCCTTGGATGAGGCTGGTCTCCAACCAGCTTGCTGGGGAGGCAGAGGGGGAGCACTTCTTTTTATTTCTTCCTCCCTCTCTCCTCTGTTGCACAGAGCCTAACTCCAGTGGGGCAGGGGCATCTTTATGGAGAAAACAAAGGAAAAGTTGACCAGATCTCCCCATTCATTTGAAGGTGGCGGGGTGGAAACCCCATCCCAAGTCCTGAGACAGGATATGGCTTTACTGGACCCAGCTGGATGGGCTGACAGAAGAGGACCACTCAGCAAGACTTTGATTGAAGGGTGGGTAGACTCAGAAAGAGAGTTGATAGGTCAGCATGAAGTTCAGCACGTGTTACTGGAGCATCTCCATAACCAGCCTCACCGTGGGTGCTGTTAAGCAAAGAGCAATGGCTCTGACCTCAAGGCCAGCCTTATAGCCAGTGGGGAGAAAGCCAGCAGAGGGAAGGGAGGTAGAGCCCATGAGATCTGGGTATGGGCAATTGTGATGGGAGCTGAGAGATAACATGAGGTTCGGGGCAGTTCAGCGAGTGAGGGAGGACTCTGGGGGAAGGGTGCTGCAGGAGCACTTTGAATGATTTAAACAGATGGAGAAGGAGGGGACCTTTCCTCCAGATGGAGGAGTCAGGGAGAGCAGGAGCAAGGAGCTGCGGAAGCACAACTGGCAGGCCTGGGTGCCTGGCTGGGGTGGGGACAGTGTGGGGCCAGGCCCTGGAGGACCGTCTGCAAGGAAGCTAGATCCACTCTAGTTCTGCAGCCGAGCAGGACCCTGTGGGGCTTCCAGGGTCAAAGCCCTCCCCCGTATCCTCTCCTGCAGCTCCTCTCTGAAGTCCCCAGGTAATAGTATCTCATGTATATTTCCTGAGTTTTCAGATGCTTAAAACAACCACTAAAGGGAAGAAATTAACTACTTGTTGACTGAGAGCACGTGGCCCCCAACCTCCTGGCGCCTAGGGGTTGATAGTGTTGACCCTTCTGTCACCTCAACATCAACCAATCAGAGAATTGTGCATGAGCTGATCATGAACCCAGCGACCCCCGCCCCTTACCTGGCCTTTAAAAATGCTTTTCTGAAACCCTTTGAGGAGTTTGCAGTTTTCTTGGTCATGAGCAACCCCGTCCTCCTTGCTTGGCCCTGCGATAAACCTTTCTTTGTTCCAGTTTGTTTGGCCTTGTGTTGCGTTGGGCACATGAATTTGCCTTCAGTAATGGTTCTTGGAAGGCACATACAACCTGGTCCTGATTCCTCCCATGCAGGGCATTTTGTGTATACTTCCCTGGCTTTCCTCGTGCTTCCAAATCCATATCATTTCCCAACCTGGAATGTTCTTAGGCATCTCTTAGACAACTAGAGCCAAATTTTGCACCAAGCTGGGGATCAATCCCCTGGAAGCCAGTTTACATGCCTCACCCTCCAAGGGCATTCTTTGCCTTTGACTGATCAGTGCTCCTTTGCCTGGAGGTGGATGAACTCCAGGTGTAATTAACACTCTAGGCTGCTGGGCATCTTATTGCTTTGAGACTCCTTTCCCTTCTCTGTCCAGCTTTGCCCCCTCTCTTACCAATCTCTTTTGGGAGCAGTTCCCTTATGAATTGCTGTATATGAACCCTTATCTCACCTCTGGGGACCTACGGGAGCCCAGAAGGCCAGGGAAGTCTAGATTTGGCCCCTTTAAATGTAAAGGGTTAAAACAAACAAACAAAAAACCCAGCAGCAACAATACCAAACACAAAAACCTGTGAGCCCCCGAGTTGTCCTCTGGACATCGTTTCTCCACTTTCGGAGGCTGCTGGTGGCAGAAGAAACCCTGCCTGCAGCTATGATCTGGGCAAGGCTAATACAAATTGTCATTTATAAGCTTTCTGTTCCTAAGTGCACACTTCGGGCAGAGGAGCCTTTTTATTTATGAAAATGCCCTTATGACCTGTTTTGGTTATGAAAGAGGAGCCCAGGGTGGTCTAGAAGGGAGGTGGGTGGTTTGCTTTGTAAAATAAAGTGGTGGAAATTCTGAGGCTTAACTTGGCATCCAAGATGGTGAAGGGGTTGGAGGATTAGGATCTGGGCTGCGGGTTGTCCCAACAAAGAAAAGGCGGGGCAAGGACTGCAGGACAGGCAGGTCTGAGGAGGGATGGCGGGAAGGGCTTCCCAGAGGTATGAATAGTCAGTGAACATTAACAGCAGGGCTGTAATTATCCTCCACTCTCCCTCATCTTCAGGGATAGCCCACCCTGCACGACAGCCTGTGTCAGTGGCGCCTGGGGAGTAGGAGGAGGTGCTGTGCCCATGTGGGTAGAGTTGGAGAGGGGTCAGCAGTTGCAGGAGGTGGGAGGAGTACTGGATATTTCTTTGTTTTGTCCAGAATGGTCCTGTCCTACTGAGAAGGGCTCCAACCTCTGCTCCAGTGTTTCTTAAAGTTTTTTCTTCTTTCATTATCACCCCCCACCTCAAAAGGAGCCCTTTTAGACTTTGTCTTAATTTTAATTTCTTAATTTAGATTTTTTTCTTAATTGCTCTCCCCTCTATGAAATTTTAATACCACAGACATATTATATATCTGTTTATGTACTATGGTTCTTTGAAGGGCCGCAAACCTTTGTAATATGTAAGATTGTTTTGCCTTCCAAGAACCACTTTTTGCCTCCTTGGGGGCATGATTCCCCACCCACACCCCCCAGAGTGCATGTTCTAATTCAGCCATGCGATTGGATTGGCCCGATGCCATCGACCAGGCTGGACAAATGAGGGGACCTCCCACCACTGAGCACAGTTGGTTGGTACAAGCATGGACAGCTGATCTGAACTTACTCAGTCAGAGTCCTTTTCTGGGATTTTAAAATTGTTCCTCTCTTGGAGAAACTGACAGATGCCAAGTGCAGCAGCTGCATGGCTGTTGACTGTTGTCTGGCGAAAGCCAAGCTGAGGAAATAAGCATCCACACAGTGGGGAACAGAGACGAAAGAGGGAGATTGGGTCCTGATGGCCTTTGAGGTTTTGGTTCCAGTCCAGCCAGAAGCTCACTTTGCCTCTGTCCCCAGAAAGGGAATCTCCATAAATCATCACTGATGCCTGAGCTGGTTTTAAGTGTGTTTCTGTCACTTACCACCCAAGAATTCTGACCAACATAAAGGGGTCAGGAATTGAATAGGAGTAGAATTCAGAGTGAAATGTGACCAGGAAAACCGAAGATGCTCTATCCCCATGCCTGGGAGCGAGCACTGTTGAGTTGAGCCTGTGTTCCTGTAAGTCTCAGGGGCCGGGCAGTGGTGTGTGGCTATGAAAGGAAGGGTGACCTTGGAGTACTAGGGTTCTTAGGAACACTCAATTTGCATGTGTCTCTGAGCAGGGGAGGGACAGAGTTGAATCTGCATTCTAGAATGTTTGCTTGAGCAGCAGAATGGTGTTGGGTTGGAGATGGCAAGTCTAAAGTTAAGGAGAGAGCAGAGCGATTGGTATAGCAGCCCAGGCAAGAGGTGAGATGGCATCTCAGTCCAGAGGGAAAGGCAGGGCCTGCACCATGACAGAGACGTTAGCCAGACTCCCGGTCCTGCCGTGTGGGGCCACCGTGCTGACTCTGTCTCTCGTCTGGGGCTGTAACTGCTCAAACCTGATGCTATGGCAGATGAGGGTGACGCCCGCCTTATGGCCAGGTGACATCTTGCCTCCCAGGTTTATGATGCTATCTGCTTATTTTAGCTGTGGTCACACCATTGTAACCCCAG